AAAGAAAATTACAGTCCAATATCCCTGATGACCGTAGATGCAAAAATACTAAGCAAAATACTAGCAATCCAATTTCAATAGTATGTTAAAGGGTTAATACACCACGATCAAGTGAGACTTATTCCTGGGATGCAAGGATGGTTCAAATAAACAAATCAATCAGTGTGATACATCACATTAACAAAATGAGTGCTAAGAATCATACGATCATGTAAATAGATGCAGAAAAAAAAACATTTGACAAATTCAACATCTTTTCATGATTAAAAAGTCTCGGGGCGCCTGGGTGGCGCAGTCGGTTGAGCGTCCGACTTCAACCAGGTCACGATCTCACGGTCCGTGAGTTCGAGCCCCGCGTCGGGCTCTGGGCTGATGGCTCAGAGCCTGGAGCCTGTTTCCGATTCTGTGTCTCCCTCTCTCTCTGCCCCTCCCCCGTTCATGCTCTGTCTCTCTCTGTCCCAAAAATAAATAAACGTTGAAAAAAAAAAAAGTCTCTAAAAATTAGGCATAGAAGGAACGTACCTCAACATAAAAAAGGCCAGTTATGACAAGCCCATAGACAACATCATAATTGATGGTGAAAAGCTGAAAGCTCTTCCTCTAAGATCAGGAAAATGACAAGAATGCCCACTCTCACCATTTTTATTCAATATAGTACTGGAAGTCCTACTCAGAGCAATTTGTCAAGAAAAAGAAATAAAGTCATCCAAATAGGAAAGGAAGTAAAATTGTCTCTGGGGATGACATGATCTTATATACAGAAAACCCTAAAGATTCCACCAAAAAAACCATCAGAAGTAATAATGGTAATAATGAAGTAATAAAGAATTTCAGTAAAGTTGCAGGATACAAAATCAGTATAGAAAAGTCAGTTGCATTTCTATATACTAACGATGAGCTATTGAAAAGAGAAATTAAAATAATCCCATTTAAAATCACATCAAAAAGAATAAAATATTTAGGAATAAATTTAACCAAGAACATGAAAGATCTATATACTGAAAACCATAAAATACTGATGAAAGAAATTGAAGAAGGCACAAATAAATAGACATTCCATGCTGATGGGTTGAAAGAATTAAAATTGTAAAAATGTACATACTGTCCAGAACAGTCAACAGATTCAACTTAGTCTCTATCAAAGTTCCAATGGCTTTTTTCACAGAAATAGAAAAACAATTCTAAAAATTGTTTGGAACCACAAAAGACCCTGAGTTGCCATAGCAATCCTGAGAAGGAAGAATGGTGTTGGAGGCATCACACTTCCTGATCTCAAACTGGATTACAGTGTTCTAGTAATCAAAACAATATGGTGTTAGCATGAGAACAGAAACATAGATCAATGCAACAGAATAGAGATCCCAGAAATAAACTCATGCATATACGGTCAATTAATCTTTGACAAGGAGCCAAGAATATACATAGGAAAAGGATATTTTTTTTAATGGTGCTGGGAAAATTTAACAGCTACATGGAAAAGAATGAAACTGGACCCATATCTTACACCACACACAAAAATTAACTCCAAATGGATTAAAGACTTGAACATAAGACTTGAAACCATAAAACTTCTAGAAGAAAACGTAAGGAAAACTTGACATTGGTCTTGCCAGTGATTTTTGGATTTAACGCCAAAAGCAAAGGCAACTAATGCAAAAATAAACAAGTGAGACTGCATCAAACTAAAAAGCCTCTTCATATTAAAGGAAACCATCAACACGATGAATAGGCAATTATGGAATGGGAGAAAACATGTACAAACCACATGTCCAGTGAGGATATATACAAAATATGCAAATGAACTCATATAACTCAATAGCAAAAACAAAGCAACCCAGTTGAAAAGTGAGCAAAGGATATGTATAGGCATTTTCCAAAGAAGACATCCAAATGGCCACCGGGTATATAAAATTGTACTCAGCATCGCTAAATCATCAGACAAATGCAAATCAAAACCACAATGTGATATCAACTCACACTTGTTAGGCTATTATCAAAAATACCAGATAACAAATACTGGCAAGGATATGGAAAAAAGGGAACCCTTGTGCACTGTTGGTGGGAATGTAAACTACCACAGCCACTGTGGAAAATAGTACAGAGATTCCTCAAGAAATTAAAAATAGAACTACCATATCATCCAGCAATCCACTTCTGGGTATGTATCCAAAGGAAGTGAAATCATTGTCTCTGAGACTTACCTTTACTGTCATGTTCACTGCAGCATTATCTAAAGAATTACTGTATTCTGAGCCAAATGGTTAGCATATGTTTTCTTTACTATATTGTTCGCTTCTTGTCTTTATATTAAACGTAGACCCCACACTGCCCTTTAGACTTTGAGTAAGCCAACACAGTCTTGAGACCCATAGCTCAGTGATGATCGAGAAGGCCTTAGTGTTCCCCCTCAGCTTGACTAAATTTTAGACCATTTTCTTCTGGATTATAGGCCCCTGTCCTCCCTCTTCTTAAAGCATTTACCTAAGAACACTTAAAATTGTAAGTTCTTTCTCTGCATCTTTGAGATATAAATCTCCTCCCAGCCTCTTGCCAGTGTTGCAACCAGGGAATGTCTTTCTCAAGGACCTGGGAGCCATCCCTTTAAAATGTAGTCATTAAGAAGGATGTGCCCTTATCCCCTTGTCTCTGATGAAGGGGCGGAGCCTACACACCAGTTAACAAACCTACTCACGCTGACCAGCCTTCTCTCTTAACCTCCTCCAGTTATTTCACTACCTCACCCTCAGGACTTAAAAACTTGCCCACGTTTTGTTTCAGTGGAGTTGAATTCAAGCCCTACCCAACTGCTGCAGTCTCTCTCCCTTATTCAGTAGCCTTCTTTGTCTGTTTGACTTGATCAGTACAACTTCCCTTTGACAGTGATTGAGAGTGAAAACTCTGGGGTCAGACTCTGACTCCATTTTACTACACAAATCACATAATCTCACCAGGCTTCAGTTTTTATTTGAAAAAAAAAAAAAATGGAGA